CCCCAAAACCCCAAAACCCCAAAACCCCAAAACCCCTCACTAGATTAGCAGAATTGAACTATATTCTGAGAGAACAAGTTATTATAGCTTCATGAAGTCAGTGTCTCCATCCCTCTCATTGATCACCTGTTGCTGCTGCTGCTTCTGGAAATGCTGATTCTCTTTAAATGTACTGTAAAGAGTAAACATCATATGAAGCGCTTCAATGATTCCTTTGTCTTCAGGCAAATTATGAACAGGGATATCAAGCATAGCCAAAATTGTTTTAGCATAGTCTTCTGTTGACAAATCAATTTCAGGCCCTGGGAACTGTGTCTGCTTTAAGATGTTCTCAACCTGAGGAGGCCAGACTTCCATTAAATTATCAAAGTTTGGCATCACTTTGGTGTACTGAACTGTGGCTGGTGGACGTCCTTCATGAAGTTCAGCAACATTTTTAATCCAGTTTTGAATATCCTTTGGGTTCTTTTCTGCATTCTCGATGCTTCTGATGCTGATTTCAACCTTTTTCCCAGTCTGCTTCTTCTGGATGTATTTCATTTCCAAAACAGAAGGGTCAACATGGTTTAAGGCTGGCTCATCCAAAACTGTGATACCAAGATCTTCTTCGGTTCCGTCAGGTTTTGGCATTTTCAAGAAAGCATCAACTTCTCCAACTCATGGAATATACTCTGGAATGAAAGGTCTAAATGTAGTATCGAGGTTGATTTTCTGGGGCTTATATCTTCCAATGTACTCGAAAAGCTCTTTGACTTCATTTGAAACGTTTAGGTTAGCATAATTCGCAGCATTATACTGACCTGGGAGTTCTTCTCCATCATCATCTTCCTCCTCCATTCCTACTGCAGCTTTGGCTTGGTTAGCCTGAGTCATCTTACCAACAGCATCGTTAGCTTCATCATTATCATCATCGTCAGATTCAATTTCATTGGAATCATCGATTTCAAGAGCTTCATCGAATTGGTCATTCTCGACTTTCTTAGTGTTAAGATCAGCGTTTTTACTCTCACTGTTCTTATCACCACCGAATGCAAATTCCTGGCGGTCATAATCTTGCTCTGCTTCATTGTCATCATCATCATCGTCTTCTGCTGGGTGCCCTACTCCATCTTGTCCATCCCCGGCAAAACCTTCGAATTCGTCGTCATCGTCATCATCATCGATGTCATCGAAGTTGGCCACCTGCTGGTCGCCGTCTTGGTTGGGCATGAACTGGTTCTTTTCTCCAGAGTCATCAAGGTCAAAATCGTTTTCGTTCATTTTTAAATATTATAAGGTAAATCCAAATTCAAATTAAATAATTAACTTTGGGGTTTTGGGGTTTTGGGGTTTTGGGGTTTTGGGGTTTTGGGGTTTTGGGGTTTTGGGG